CTCATCTCAAGTCTTCTTATTGGCATTTTATTGAAACTTGGGAAATAAAAGTGCCATACATGTAAATGCCATTTTTCCATGCATGCAATCTATAATAAAGTATCAGTATCAATATTGGCTTAATAAATGGCTCAAGAATTATCGTCTAGATTCCCCCCCCCCTTTTATGTTAGCAGTGCTCTGCAATGATGTAAGGTCAGATACAGAATACTGTAACTTATTGCTGATTTATAGGGAGATGAAGATGATGAAAATGCTAGGCCACTGGCGGAGTCACTGCTTCTAGCCATTGCAGATCTCCTCTTCTGTCCAGAATTCACTGTCCAGAGCCATCGAAAAAACAATGTGGTAAGTCAGACTTTGGTTGTTTAGGATCTAGTATGACAGCCTCAGTTTTTAAGATGGCCAAGGTCAAACTGTCAATAGAAAACATTTGCTGTTATAATAATTTTTTGCATACAGTCCAGTACAGTTACTTAGCTATCTGTATTAAGGTGGAATTTCCAGTCAGCAAAATGGTGGTTGCCTTGGGCTATCATTCTCTGTCAAAGATGGAGGCCAGCTACTATGGAAATGGAGGAATGGAGAATTCTGACTTTCCATAGTAGCTTGTGATTCGTTTAATGCCATCCTCTTGTAAATGTGATATCTGTGGATAACTCTGAAACAACAAGGTTTACGTTAGGAGGATATACTATGCTTTGGGTTGCAGTTAGTGGAAAAAAATACTGCATCTCTACTTGTTCTTTTAGCAGAAGTCTGCTAAAGGTTGATATTCATGGCTAAACTATCTAATTCTGAAACAGCAACATGTACCTTTATATTTGGCCTGCATTTGATGATAGGGCCTTCCTGAATATGTTAGCTTTTGCAAAGATTGGACCAGAAATAATGAAAAGACCTGTGGAAATGTATTGTAGCTTAGCTTTTGCAGGTCAAAGTTCACTTCAACAGAAACACAAACAATAATCTATGTGGAAGTTTGTTGAACTATTTTTGGTTAGGTGCTTCTAACTTTTAAATAATTGAAGTATGTGCAATAATATGTAACTCAGGAACAAATAATAACATGGGTGGTAGCACCTGGCTGACTTTAGTCAAATGAACTTAACCATGTCAAGCTGTGAAATGTCCTTAGAAAAATGGGAATCCCAAAACACTTTGTTGTCCTCATACGAAACCTATGTACAGGACAGTTCAGATGTCTCTCTCTCTCTCTATTTAATTTGTATGCTGCCCATCTCCCTCAGCCTGTATGCTGAATATATATTGAGGGAGGCTGGATTGGAAGGTGAGCATGATATTAAAATTGGTGGAAGAAGCATCAATAACCTGTGCTATGCTGACGGCACTATTCTGATAGTGGAAAATGGAAATGATATATAGGCTGTAGTAATAAAAGTCAAGGAGTATAGTGAAAAAATGGGACTAAGATTAAATATAAAGAAGACCAAACTAATGAGAGCAAGTACAGTAATTGGCCTTAGAACTGACATTGAAGATGCTTAAGTGGTAGATCTTCTGTCTTTTAGGATTGACTAGCAACAGTAAAAGAACCAGCAGTCAAGAAATATGCTACAGTAGGATAATAATGAAGCCCTTGGAAAAGATATTCAGATGTATCTATAACTGCAAAGATCAGAATCATGCAGGCATTGATTTCCTTGTGATACTCTGTGGAAATGAAAGTTAGATTTTGAAGAAGCAGGATAGAAAGAGTATTGATGCTTTTGAACTTTGGTGATGGAGAATACAATGGATAGCCAGAAAAACAAACAAATGGATCTTCCAGAATATTTGGATTTTTTAAAATAGTAATTTTATTAAAGATTATAATTACAATAGATAAAATCTAATACAAACTAAAAGAAAGATAGAAGAATCGAAAGAAAGAGTAAAAGGTGCAGAAAAAAGGGAAAATAGAAAGATAAATAGAAAAGTAAGAAAAGTAAGAATATAGTAAAGAAAAAAAAAGAAACATATAAAGACATGACCTCCAACCTTCATCACAAGTATAAACAAGTTTAGTAACTTATCACCTCTTCAAATACAACAAATGATCTCTTCTTCCCATATCCCATCTCTTAGCTATAAACAAATCCATAAAGCATTGTCATTTCAGTCCTGGTGTCAGCAAAAGTCCATTAACGGTTACCAGAAATAAC